AAGCTTTCTCGGAGGAAGCTGCCCTGGAGTTGACACGGGAAGGCTGGAAGGATCAGGCAGATGAGGAATGATACTTCAAACAGAGGAACTGACAAGCGTTATTCAGAATACAACAGCTTAGAAGGGAAAACTTCAGGTGTAGGTCAGGAAAGCAGAGGCACAAAGCTGGAAAAAGCAATGTGTTTTTACAATGCAATGGGAAGAGATGAAAATAGGACATAAGACAATGCATACAAACTTCTTACAAACATGAAAACATAGCAACTCATACTAAAGGTTATCATGGAATATTTTTGAGGCTAGGCATGGTGGCATTCATCTATAGTCCTAGCACTTGGGAGGCTGAGACAGAAGGATCTCCATTAGTTCAAAGCCAGTCTGGATTATATACCAAGACTATCTCAAAACAAAGTAAAGATATTTCAGAAAATTATTAATTTAATGTCTACATAGCAATTAAGTTTAACTGGTGTTATACTATAAACACCTGGTCCATGCAATGTCCATTACATTTCCTGATAGGCAAGAGTGGTTTTTTAAAATCTCTTCCTTGTAGAAAAGAATTATAGATGAACCCTGCACATTAACATACTTATGAATATGAAAGAAGGAAAAGTGAATTTTAGTAGTATGCCCATGTTTTAATACATCTTCTAATATCTCATGCATGCCACACCTGAGAGATTGCCAAAATAATTGAGACACACTTGGTTACCTGATGGCTAATGTTTCTTTTTGCAATCCAATTTTCTAGTTTTAAATGGGGGAAGAGGTCACTAAGTGGAGAAGGAGGGAGGTAGCTTAGTAATTCAGGAGGCATTCAGAACATTATTTGTGCCAGAGACAACAGACTATATTGTCTGTATCTGTACTGTATTATAAGCACCAATTTGAAAGGAAGTAGGCAGGTATTTGAAGCTTGTAACATCAATCATTGCAAAGACAAGTTCATATAAAACCTTTTTATATTTAAAAATTTGGGTTAGGGTGTGTACCTCAGTGAAAGAACAAGCTTAGCATATAAGAAGCTCTGGGTTCAATCCCTAGCACTACAAAAAATAAAAAGCTTCTGAAGCTGGTCTAGACAGTGTCTGTGAAAACTTCGCCTTCCAACTGAGTTAATCTTTACTGCCAATGCAGGGTTACAATAGCACTTAGTGTGGCCCAAATACCTTTCCATTGGCACGAAATGCTTTAGCTTAAATGACCACTGGGCTTAGCAGAGAACTGAATACAGGCAGTATCACCGCCCTTTAAGCTTAGCTTTTATCCCTTAGCTCTTGCCTTGTAGAGAAAAATGAATTTCCAGTTCAATTGAGTAAGTTCTCTGGGCAATCCCCCAGCAGCCATTTTGCCCGCATCATGTAAATGTGACACAGCAACCTCGCCAAGAAGAGAGGCAAAAAGAAACCGTTGGAAGAGAATTTGAACTACAAAAGCTAAAAAGCATTGCTATCATGTTTTAGAAATGGCTTTCTGTTAAATTTCGTTATTTCTTCTAGCTGCTTGCAAGCTAAAGGCACTGGCTATGGGATGGGTAAGGCTTCTATAGAACACCCTGGAACTTATTCAGTCCTGTCTGAGAATCCTGGGAAAGACTCCAGGCAGGTGAGATCAGGCTTCTTCAAGGACAGAGAAAGCCATGTGTCTCTCAGTGACTCATGTATGGCATGCTTCAAAATCAATCCTCATTGCATGCATGCAACACTTTCATTGCTGGACCAGATAAGGTACTCTTGAGATGTGGCCTGCTTCTTTCAGAGATTACACAGGTCAGGCATCCAGTCCAGCTACTTCCTCACTGGCAACATCAGCCGACGTCTGAGTCTACTTCTTGAGATGCAGGAGCTCAAACCCATGGGGAGATGGTTTGAACATATCCTGGTTTGGTGGATTCCAGGCAAGTCATGCTTCATCCAGGTGTCTCATCCAAGATAAAATCTATCTTTTTCTAGGTCTTTTTCAGTTTCAATTTCCAAGAAGCCCACTCTGACCATATTATTTAAAATTGTGACTCATCTTCTCACTTTTAATCTCTGAACCCTGATTATTATTTTTATTATTAGGGCTAGAGATCAACTCCAATGCCATGTACATATTAAGCAAGCACTCTATTCCTGAGCTGCATTTCTGGGCCTGGTTTATTTATTTATTTGGTAATGAGAATTGAATCCAGGACCTTGTGCATGCTAGGCAAGCACTCTATCACTGAAATATAACCTGGACCCCTCCCCCTTTTTTGGTTTTCCTTTTAGACAGGGTCTTACTAAATGACCCAGGCTGGCCTCAAACTTGCAATCCTCCTGCCACAGACTCTCAGCTAGCTTGGATTACAGGGGTGGTCTGTAACACCTAGCTGTATTTTATTTCTTAATGTAAAATTCTCAAGTGTACAAGTCGATGAACTCACAGATATGTGCACCTTCATAAGCATCACCCAGGCTGAGACATAGGACTCTCATGGTTCTTCAGAAACAGGATTCTTCAAGGCAAGTTCCCAGTCAGGCCTGTTCTGTTTTTTCAAAGCATTTATTACTTTTTAAGGTAATATTTGCCTGATTGATTCACTATTGCACCCAAGCAGCTAAAACAGTGTTGGTACATGTAAGTACACAATAAATATCTGTTGAATGAATGAATGTTTGAAGCCATACTTGTTGGACCCATCTGTCCACGCCTCCCCTCCAATGTAGCCTGTAAGAGGAGGGAAAACCTTGCTTGAATCTCTAGTGTCTGTATAACAGTGTTAAAAGCAGCCCCAGAAATGGAATGTGTCAGCTCTGGGGACAGTTGTGGACTGGACATATCCTTTTTTTTGTTTGCTTTTGTTTTTTTCTGGTATTGGGAATCGAACTCACGACCTTGTGCTTGCCAGGCAAGCGCTGTGCTGCTGAGCTAAATCCCCTCTTTTAATGTAGAGTCCTGGTTTTGGGGGTGGGGCATGGTGCTGAAGATCAGACTTGGAGCCATGTGCATACTAGGCAACACTCTACCCCTGAGCTACACCTCTAGGCAGCTAGAGTCCTCTCCTGAGTCCTAGGTGTCTGGCATTTCTCTTTTCTTCTTAGTCTCACATTTGATTAGTGCATGCTGTACTACATGATGTTCAGAGGATTCTGAGGTTTCTAAGTGGTGACTCTCCTGACACTGCCCTTCTTATCCTCAGTCTTGAGAATGGACTTGTGTTCCTTGCTCCCCTTTGTGTCACTTCATGTTCTGGCCGCTCTGTGACTGGCCCGTTTCTCCCTGGGTATCCATTGACTCTCTTCCTCTTTCCTCCTCCTCAGACAGCCCCTCAGGCCCACTGACATTGTTGAACTAGCCTCCTAGGTGAGCCCCCCATCTTTGCCTCAGCCTCTTGTGAACTGTCTCCATTATTTTCTCTAAAATACGCCCTTGATCATTCACTGTTGTGGTCAAACAGTGGGTCACCTGTAAGCTGAAACAAGCTCAAACTCCTTAGCCTTGTGTCCGAGGGGTCTGGGGCCCAGGTCCCCCCACTAGCCTCATACAGCACCACCACACTGCAGCAGACCACCACCCCCTGTCACTATACAGGTCCTCTACTCTCTTGCCTTTGTCCCTTTGCTTTGTTGTTCGGTTTGGAAAGTAAGTGCTAGAAGGAACTTCTTGAGATCACCTAGTCTGACTTCATTTTACAGATGAGGAAACAGGCCCACAGAGATGAAATGATGGAGCGGCACTACCTAATCAAAGATCAAGGGTGACTGATGAAAAGGGACCCCAGGGCAGCCTTGGGTTTAACAATATCAGTGGGGCTTTTACATACAAGATCAATCAGTGGACCATCCTTTGAGTAACCCTCTCTAGGTAGCTACCTAAAATTGTGGTCTTTGAGAACCAGTCCCACTGCCTCTATGAAGGCTTCCTGTGACCCTAGTTGGGAGTCTGAACTTTCAAAGCAATGGATCAGCCTCTCTGACCTGCAGTTAACCTAGAAGTCGACCCCCCCCCCGGCCCCACCCCCCCACTGAATGTGCCAGACAGGGGCTCTTCCACTGGAACACTACTCTGTCAACTCTTAAATCTTGACTTTCTCCCATTCTAACGCCGGCAGTTTGTACTTGGTAGGTGAGCACTAAGAGTCTTAGGAATGGAGAGCTAGCCTGTAAGGAGTGTACTCACAGGTTACACTCCAGACACCAGTGCGGGGGCCAAAATGTCCACCTACACCGCGGGATTCACGTGCAGCATCTTCACTCCTTTTGGCCCCAACCCTCTAAACACGAGCAACTTTGGTCTCAGTGAAAAGCCTGCTTGCTGCAATTACAGGGTAAGTTTCTCTGTTTTTTTGGCGCGGTCTCTACTCTCACTCTCTGCACAGCTAACCTGTGGTGACTGGTCCCGAAACGTGACCTGGCACGGACAGCGCACAGCTCCCCTTACAGAGGGAGCACAGGTCCCCGGCGAGCCGCGGCCACGCCAGCTTTCCGGGCTGGCGCGGTCACCGACCCCGGACTGTGGCCAAGCCGGCAGAGGGCGGGAAAGTGACACGGGGCTGGTGGGGCAGGGTGGCAGCAGCACTTCGGGAGAGCTGGAGTGCCCGGGAACCCGGATCCCAGGCTGGACCAATCGGGAAGGCGTCGTGGGGCACCAACGGGGTGCCCACCCGCTGCCCGGAGAGCGCTGGACTAGACTTGGGCCGCATCGGCCAACACAGGGGTTCGCCATCCCGCCTCTCTCCGACCCGGGAGGGACAGGGGGAGGGCAGAAAACCGGACCCGCCCCGAACCCCAGCTCCAGCCTCAGCCCCAGCCGCGCGGGGCTGCGGCTGCGGGACGAAGACCAGAGACTCCTCCCCGAGTGCAGAAACCCGTTTGGCCGGTCCGGCAGAGCTGAGAAAAGGGCGGCCGCAGAGGAAGGGCGCTCCGAAGCGGGGCGAAGGAAGGCGGGGAACCATTGGCGAGCCGAGAGCCACAGAGTCGCAGCCGGGCCCTCTCCAGCCGCGCAAGCCATGAAGCGCTAGCGCGGGCAGGGCCGGGCCGGGCGGCGGCGGGCAGGTGCCTGGCCAGGCTCGGAGGGGCGCGCCGGGGGGTGCCCCAGCCGGGGCCCTGCGAGCGCTAGGTAAGAGGGGCGCGGCGCCCGCACTTCCGAGGTTCCGCGGGCCAGCGGACGACAGGGACCCGGGATGGGAGGCAGCCGCTGTCCACGCCCTGGGTCCCCCAAGTCGTCACCGGTGGGATTTGGGTGGGAGGCCGGGAGTCGCCGCACCCTCGGGCACCGAGAGGCACCGCTGGCCAGGCATGCAGGGCTTTTCACAGTCGGGAGGCGGGAGCTCGCGGAAGGTGTCGGGGTTTTTCGCTGGTTTGTGACAGACTTGTCCAGAGTTACGCTCCGAAGGTTCAGCCAGTGCTTGGGGCGCCCTTGGAGGGTGCCTCTCGCCGTCTGGCCGAGCCACCGCGCCCTCTGGAAGTCCCCCACAGCTCGGTCCAGTTGGGGCCAGCTCTGGGGACTGATGCCGGTTCCGAAAATGACCCCAGGGCCAAGTGTACCTGGCCTGGCCGCACCTGCGGGGTGCGGTGGAGGGGGTGAGATCGACGTCTCCACCCCTCCAGGTCAAGGCCAGGTACCCCCTCCCATCCACCCTCTGCCGCTCAGACGGTGCGGGGCAGTGATGGGGGGAGGGGACAGTAGGGTCGCGCCAGTCAGCTACTCTTCTCGCCCCAATGGCCCCAATTCGATGGCGGCACTATCTCCTCCCAGCGTGTACGTGGAGGGGCAGCTTTGGGGGAGGGGGTGTAGCGTGGGATGGCAGTGCTTTCACTGCCCACTTCTTCCACGCTGTCCCCTCTCCCAAAGTGAAAGAAAAGCCGCGAAGCGCAGGGCCAGCTTCTCCGAGCCAGGTGTGTGCGCGTCGTCCTCGCCCCGGAGGCTCGCAGCGCGGAGCCGGGGGCTGCTGTACAGTGCGGAGGACCGCAGCGCAGTTGCGAGCCCGGGCCGGTGAGGTTGACGCGTGAAAGTAGAGGGGACCGGCGCCACCTTTCCGCCCCGCGCGTCCCCTCCACCCGGCCTGATGCCCGGGGCCTGCGCGCACCGCCTCCGGCGGTCTCAGCCCATCTAGGGTAACTCCGGACGCCCGGGGTTCCGCCTCCGGAAACTGCCCGCCCTGCTGGCGTGAGAAAAGTTTGGCTCGCACCTTCCTGGTTGTTTTGCCTTCAAAATGCTGTCCCCCACTCCTGGAGAATTAAACCAGACAACGCTTGTAGACCACCCCGCGCACCGTACATGCTGACGAGGTGAACTGCTTTTAGGAACGAAGGCTACCAACGGAGTGTCCCAAAGTCTCCGCTGATAGTAGAGAACGCACAGAAATAGGGGAAACCACACAAAAAGTGAAGTAGCGCTAATTTTCATGGTCTGGGGAGGACTTTTGTGTTAGGCCTAAAATGGCATTCGTTAAATCTGGGACTATTGTTGAATATCTTATTAGCCCTATTATAAATGCATATACTATGCTGCGCAAAATGTGATGAATGGTTATTAGCTGATTAATTTCTGGAAAGAAGTCATGCTCGCCTGCAATTACTCCTCTGTAGCCTTCGAATGATTTTCATTATGTAGTGAAGATTTTCTTGTTCTAATTTTGGTAAGAAACTTTAACCTCTGCGTGCATATATCATTTTCTAGTGGCTATGCTTTGATAATTATTAGTGGTTCTTTGTTACTAAGGGGCAAACGACTCCTGTGGCTCACTTAATACTAGCAAATACAGATGCCACCTGCGTAAGCTCAGTGCTGGCAATCTGAGCTTTTCTAAGTTTTATGTTAAGGACAATATGTGGCTGTGTTGACTTGTTATTACTTGCTAGTGCTAGAACTAGTTTCTTTCTTTTTTTTAAATCGAGGCCTTAAAATAATGATTTGGTAAAGCAAATGGTCTAATAACAAGTGTTCCCATAAGTACTGGTTTCATGTTTAGCCTGGCTTTTAGGATTTCAGATCTTAGTGCTAAGTGTAATACCAAAGCTCCTGTGGAATGTTTCTACCCTTTTTTCTGTCTGCCCTTCCTTCCATCCATTCTTTCTACCTCTTTCTCTTGCTTTTAAAGCAAAGAGTAATGGAAAACAAGTGGCTGTAGATTCCCACAGGTTTCAGTTCTTTGAATAACCTTAGAGAGATTTAAATTTTCTAAACTGTTTGCTTATCTGTTGAGGGGGAAAAGTTTTTATCAGCTTCTTTGGGGTGTTGAGAAGATGAAATGAAAAACTGTGTGAAAGTCCGTAATATATAATAAGTGTTTGGATGTTACTTTTGTATTTTCTTTGTTAGACTGATTCTGCTTTAAAAAAAAAAAAGCATCATACCCAGGTATTTGTAGTGTATACATGTGTCTATCTACCTATCTATATCTATAGGTAGGTAGATAGATAGATATGGGCAGTCGGACCCAGGGCGTCACATTTGCTAGCTAAGTGGGTACATTGGCATATTTTAAATAGTTTACTGCCTTACTTTTTAAATTCTGTTTTAGTTTGTCATAAGTAATATTCGTGGAATGCAGGTGATCCTTATAGAAGATTAATTTACTGTTGCTGATACTCTTTGGTTTTTTAGTCATTATAAAAGAGGGCTCTGGACTTACAGATACAGAAGAGCTCGCTTTTTCAGGGCCACGACATGTTTTATTGGGTCAATTCATGTCCTAAAAAGAAACTTTAAAGATCCTTAAGTACTAAGTTTTAGCATCTGCTTTTAGATTAGTCTCCTGGAAAGTTTTTCTTTGTGGTGTCTTCAGTTATAGTGAGTTTTTAAGCCTGTTTTGGGGGCATCATTCTAGCAGATTAATTGCATTTATGTCAGTAGGTCTTATTTACTTATTAAATACAAATTAACTTTTTGCCAGGGGAGTCTGAATAACACAAAAAAAAAGGTAGCTGATGTTCTTTATTTTGTTAACCAAGTTAATCCTGGATCTCCATCCTCGTGCCTAGTTAAAAGTAATACCTGATCTAAGACCTTTTGAGGTCTTGTGTCACTGAAGATCTAGTTTTATGGAGGAGTAATGTATCTAGAAAAAAAGTACTGTGTATGCGTGTGTGTGTGTGTGTGTATGTATGTAAATGCACATGTTTCTCTTGCACTATCTCTGTCTCACTCTTTCTTTTTTATGGTCCTAGGGATTCAAACCAGGGCCTTGCATATGCTAGGCAAGCCCTTTACTACTAAACTATATTCCCAGCACTCTCATTTTTATTCCTAGAAAAAGAACTTGTTATCATTAGATTATTTCTTGTGTGTGTGTGTGTGTGTGTGTGTGTGTGGGTGTGAGGAATTGAACTCAGGACCTTGCGCTTGCCAGGCAGATGCTGTGTGGCTGAGCTATATCCTAAGCCCCCATCAGATTATTTCAGAACAGAATTAGGGCTTTTCTGAATGCATACTTCTGAATGCATTACACTTTTAAATAAACCGACACCAAAACCATCCACAGTGGAACTGTGTTGGATAACTAATTTCCCTGAGCAGTCCAGAGGCAGCTAGCCTAGTATCCTTTAATCCACATTGTGTTCCACGCTCTACCGCTTCCCAGCTGTATAACCTAGGGCAAGTTACCTAATCTCTATAGCCTCAATTTCCTGGTCTGTAAGTGGCTTAATAAGAGGCCTACATCAAGGTGGATGTGATGAGTTCCAAATGAGTTGGATACTTTGGGTAAAGGAGGGAGCACAGGGCTTGGTGAAAAGTACTCATTACTGACATCGTTGTGTGGTTTCCAGTGCTCAGCAAGTACCTCTCACCCAGACATTGCCTTTCTCCTACGCTGTGGAGGAAACAGCAGTCACGCTACATGTTAATATTTGCTTAGCAAACATTGGTGCCCATTTTCACCAGGCATGGAACAGAAAAAAATTCCCAGAGTAGGGGCAAAGTTCTAAGCCCTCAAATTTATGCTATTGATCTGGAGTGCTGACCAGTGGCCGGGACAACCAGGGAGCCCAGTGACCTCCTACGCTGCAGAAGATGGGCTCAGTCCCAGCCACAAGGGACCCAGGCTGCTCCCTCAGCTGGGTACTGCTTTCTCCTGCACCGCGGATGACTTGGAACATACAGAACACTGCTGCGCCTCCTCCACCCCTCACTTCTGTCTGTCTCCTTTCCCTCCTTCTCCATACTCCTCCCTTGTTGTTGTTTTTAAAACATTTACTCTTCTCCGTTTAAAGCATAGCAGTATCTGAACTTTGTGGCTTTTGTACAGGATCAATATTCTCTGCATGGTTTTCTTCATTGTAGAAGACGTCATTCATTCATTCATTTTTCTTATTCTTTTTTGATTTTTTTGATTTTTTGAGACAAGGTCTCACTATGCAGTTCAGGCTGGCCTTGAACTCACCATGTAGCGCAGGTTGGCCTCAAACTTGCAATAATTCTGCCTCAGCCTTCCAAGTGCCTCTGCCACCATGCGGGGCTGGGCTCTCATCTTTCAACGAGGTAGTGGATTAACCTCCCTGCTCCACAGACCCCTGGGAGGTTTACTGAGTGCTTCTGTTATTCTTTCTTCTTTGATGTGCAAGTAAGGCAAGTATCCTGACTCCTGCCCTTGACTTTGTCTCTCTCTTTAGGAGGGTTGGTGGCCTTGAGGACTGCTAAGATCCCGCTTAGCCTGAGGGTCTGTTTTCTTTATCAGGATTGCATTTAATGAGTCCGAGATGGCCCTGCTGGTGTAGCGGGTGTCAGTCAGGGAAAAAGAGCTGGCTCCAGGGGGTGTCACCTTCATTACAGAGTGTTCTTCCTTCAGTGGCAAAGACTGCCTTCCTCCCACTTGTGCAAGATTGAGAAACCAAACTGGGCGTGGTGGCGCGTGCCTGTAATCCCAGCGCTTGGGAGGCTGAGGCAGGAGGATCCTTGCAAGTTCTAGACCAGGCAGGGCTACAAAGTGAGTTTAAGACCAGCCTGAACTGCATAGTGAGACCCTATCTCAAAAAGACAAAAAAAAAAAAAAAAAGATTGAGAAGCCAGGCACTTCTGCATTTACTGTGTGGAACCTGACCTTTGGCTAGTAGCTTTGGTCTTTGTTTACAAGACTGTTGCTTTATGGCTTTATTTCTTTGCTGAGTGGCTTTTGT